ATTTAAAGGGGAAGTATTGATGTTGCACAACTTAAAACATAATAAGTATAGCCAACTCATTACATTTAGAAAAGAATTTTAATTCATATTATGTGTATATCTTTAGTATCGTTAAGATAAGATTTCGTATTTATTATATTAAATAACTAACTTACACAGAAGTCTTAAAATCAAGCAGCTATAAAAAATAAAGCTGTTTAATTTAAGGATAACACGTCGGAACTTTTTGATCATGTACAAATAAGATTGTACATTACGTACAAAAATATCCTTGCCGTGTACATTAGGTTATTTAAATTGTTAATTATCTAGTTCATTCTATTGTTATGTTATCGTCCAGTAACAATAGTAGCGATGTTTATTAAATAACATTTGGTTACATTGGCAACTGCTAATAATTCGCTTCGATATTTCTAAAACATCCTCCATTGATATCCAAACATTGTGCGTCATTTGAAATAAGGTTTGCGTACATAAATAACTTATGTACGTTTTTCATCATCATCAGCTGACTATATGTCCTCACCGAGGGGCCTAGAGCCTACCCTAAGTTAAGGGTGATTAGGTCAATCACGCTGGCCAAGTGCGGGTTGGCTGACTTCACACATATCTTTGAATTTCTTCTCAGATATGTGCAGGTTGCATCACGATGTTTTCCTTTACCGTAAGAACGTCGGATAAATGTATATATGTAAATCGGAAATGGGAAAACACATTGGTACATGGCGGGATTCGAACCCAGGACCTGCGGATTCCAAGTCTAGTGCTTGACCCCTGAGCCACCGACGTTCTTTAATACGTTTCTATTGATACACTAATATTCTAATATTTTCTTGAAATTTTATAGAATAAAACACACACCCAGTTTTCAAACGATAAAATGTTGTGTGGTCATACGTTTTTATAATTTAACAAAACAGAGTTCTTTTATTAGTAAGCGTGTAAAGGTTTTTCATAAAGCTAACTACGAAAGCTCTGCCTAATTTTTATTCGCTGTTTTAATTACAATATATTATTTATATTTAAATAATCTAAAATTATTTATTTTAAGAAAATCGTAAATATACGGACAGTAAAAAATTTTTGAGTTTCAGGGTTCATAATTTTTTTTGTAAATAACATGTGAACTGTTAGGAAATGAGGAGAGTTTAACAGATCACCATATGTTTCTTTTCGTAGTACTTTTAATTTCTAGAAAAAGATCAATGACTTTATGATATGGTTCCTAATCTCTATGGAACTTTTATGGAAGTAAAAATCATTCATATGTGATATTTAATCAGTAGTCTTTTAATTTCTATCATACTTGTGTTCATTTGTGTATTGACCTGTAGGAGTAGTCAATTCCGGAAGCTTTCGTATTACGTATTTTGTCAGCAGAACAGTAATTGTAGGACATCTAATTTCAGCGTCTACTTCTTTCAAAAGGTTATTAAACATGTTACCAAAAACAATAACACGTCTTTACACAATACATCAAGCAATGTCATGTGTATCTTAATATGGTAGGGTAACTGGTGAGCGCCTTGTTTAGAGAGGGACGTGTAGATAAGGAGGGAGAGTGTGACGCGCTGCGCCCGCGCACGGTGCGGCAACGTCGCAGTAAATGTTTTGTAAATAGATGTCGATTGTTGTGGCAGGGTTGCAAGATTAACCGAAAATATTTTGAGAAGAGGTCAATTGCCATTCGATTTATGAGATGTTATGGTGGCATTCGTAATTAAATGCAAATAAAAACCCAATACAAATTTAACATGCTTATTAGATGTCTGAAATATTTCTATTGTCTTATAAGATTGAGTCACATTAAAAATCTAGGTACACCTAAAAATTACGCTGTATTTGTTTAACATCGATTTAAAAGCGAGCATATTTTGATTTCGGCTGTACTGTTATTTTTATGATGTATGTTTTTGTCAATAATGTGCCTGAAATAGACGTCTTGGCAACCCTTTAATGTAAACGCGACAGCTCTATGCGTTAGATAGAGAAAGAAATGGTGTCAAAAACACAACAAAAGTGAACTTTACGCAGTTGAATTATGGAATAGTGATTATTATATACAGTTATGAATCGGTTGGGTACAGCCGTAGTCCGTTTTACAAAGTTTTTTTATCACATTTTGGTTCGGTTTGTAGCTTTCATTATTATGCATGTTTTATAAGTTAAAGAAATCATTTAGAAAATCTATCGAATTACTTCTCTTTTAAATCTCTTACTTAATAACCTACATAGCATAGATACCTATTTTAATTAATCTTTTTTAATTAAAAAATTATAGATTGATATTGTTAATTTAAACCCAAACTTGCTGTCTGTCCGCGACTTTTTCCGCGCGGAATTATTTTTTTTTTTATAATTGGCCTATGTGTTTTTCCTGACTATGTTCTACATGCCATATTTCATCAAGATCCGTTGAGCGGAAGATACGTTCTAACAATTATCCGTCCATCCATCCATTCAACAAATATTCGCATTTATAATATTAGTAAGATGTATATTCTATATCGAATTCCGTGTTTTATTTAATCTAAAATATACATGATCTGATTGATCTTAACAAAAAACAGTCGATAAAAATGCGCGTCTTACCTACTTGTTTATTCCTAAAATAATTTCTTTATTTGAGCTGCTGCCAACGTTTGATTTCTAATCAGATTCTTTGGGTGCACAAACTGTGTATTTTTCGTACCATTATGTGCAATTTGAATGAACAAAGTAATAATATAATCACGATCTTTATAAGACACAAAATATGAATTGTCAAAAAATTACTAAAGTGAAAGGTTCATTTAAATTCCTTAAACTCCTAAGAATTTTAATTAATCAAGTAAAATCTGCAACGGTCCACTGCGCACGAGGACGTACGGTCTTCACAACGAAATTCTTACTTTAATATTATAAATGCGAATGTTTGGATGTATTCACTGAGGATGGATGGATTTTTGTTAGAAGGTATCGGCAAAACGGCTGGACGGATCTCGATGACATTTGGCATAGATGTTGAATATAGTCTCGAAGAATACATAGGATCCTAATAAGTTTTTTTTTAATTCCTCGTGGACAGAGTCGCAAGTAACAGCCAGTTTTAAATAGAGCTAGTCCATAGAAACTTAGATGAATGCCACTAGATTTAACCTGTAGGTGTAAATGATATCAATAAAAAATAAGATGTATATTTTTCAATCGTATTAAATAAGGGACGAAAGAAGTGGCGAACCACTTTGGAAGACGGATATTTTTTTGCCGACTCTACATAGAGTGGAATCAGGGTAGATGAGGTTCATATAGTTGCACAGGTCTAGTCAGGCACGGGCTGACTCGATCTAAGTATATGTCAACACAAACACAAGGAACACTAGTGGAAATATGAGCGCAGACACATTTAAAATTCCCTATACTATTTTATACGACGTAGTAAGTCCTGACAGCCCCCCATCTAATCAGCTGCTGTTCGTCAAAATATGCTCGATAATTAATTAAATTCCGTCATTATTTTAATAAATTTGTCATTATGAATGTTTATGTTGGCGAGTGCCGGCGAAATTTTAATAAATAAACTGAAAGGCGGAGCGGGGTGGCATCGAAATACAGTCGGGGTCGACGACCCATCGACCGCCCCCCCACCCTATAGCCTCCATCGCCCCCCCTTTCCCCCACGGCACTGCTCCCTCGTATCGAACCTTCGCGGATGTGATGTGTCTTATATATTGTAAAATAGACAAGTACATTGAAATATTAAAGAAACAGAACGATAAGGTCAAAGAGGTCAGAACAAATGACGTTCGATTTTGTTTTAATCTACGTTCGAAATTCAAATTACAAAAATTTAAACATCATATTTTTAAAATAGTATTGCTAAATGAGAAGCTGAAAAGCTACTTTGTGAAATCAGATACTACGATATTATGTAGTTGTTTAAGTCTTGAACACGATTGCATAATTGATGCTTCACTATCCTTCAAAAATTATGATGACTTGTCTATGTTAGGATGTATATTAGACACTATTCGATGTTTCGACTTACCGTTTAATATCGATTAACACGACGATCTACAAAATCGATATGAGAATGATAAATCAAAACTAAGATAAAAAGCATAATGCGTTAAACATGCGCTGAACTAAAGAGAAATCAACAAACGGTTAGTTAATTTTTTTTTCAAGCACTCGTACGACTTCCCTTGTTAGTTCGTTAGTTAGGTAGGGTTGAAATCTTGTTAGTTAATTTTGACCCAGTTCCATATTATAGTTCCTTCGCTTGAAATTCAACTCAATTTTCATTAAACATTTAAAAAACATTCATGAAAAAGGTTGTGTATTTTGGAAAAAGCGTTATGAAATGTAACTTAACAGGCCCTTAATATACGTATTATATAAGCACGTATTAGGTTAGTTGTCAATTTTAGACAAAACTTAATTTGTATTTTCAGTTTTAACAGTTAAAACAAGATAATTATTAAATTAGTTTAATACTTAGTACTTTAAAATATTTTTTTAAATAATCTTTAATACAGTTGCCTAATATAATAACAATTGCAGAGAAAGCCGAGATTTGTGTAGCGCCATCGTTTGTTATTGCTTGCAAATAATTCTATTGTTGCTTCTCATGATCAAGATTACTAATTGTACCTTAACTATATAATGTATATTCTATACAATATATAGAAGTGTAGTGCTACAAATTTAATTGGCCCGATGGGTTAAAAAAAGGTCAACGCCCAAATAGTGGCACAAGATCTTATATTATCTTGCATGCCTTTAGCTGTACCAAACAAATATTGTGAATCAATTTTTTAAATAAATGCTATATGTAAATTAAAAAGTGCATAAATTGTTTACATTAGGAAAAAAGCAGGACTAATATTAGTTATTTGAAAGACCTTGAAGTATATTTCAGGAGATCCAAAGAACAAGACAATTTGAAATGGTGCAAAAAAGTGCAAATAAAATTGAAAAAATAAAGATGCTATGTTAGACAAGGATGCAAGGATATTTACCTTGATGTCTTGCAAGACCTGTAAACAATTAGAAACATATTAGTGGTTTTGCACAATAACATTTACAATGGAATATCAACCACACGGACAAAGCCATTGTTACAACTGAATGCTGATATATTTAGGTCAAGTTTGAAAATTATCAATGGAGAACTGACAAACTTGCAAAGGTCGAATAGATTATTTCATCTGAGAAACACACATAAATAATAGTAAATGTACTTCATTTGTATTTGTAATATCATTATACATTAGCAAAAATCTTAATTATATATCTTAAATTTACCGTGGGTTTCTGATATTAAATTCAGCGTTTAAAACATATTGTTATCCCTGTTTTGACAAATATGAAAGACAGGGATGACGATGTATTTTATACAGAGTTTTTGGTCTTAGAAACCAACACTTACTCAATAATTATGCTTATTTCTGCTATTACTATTTTAAATTGTCATTAAATGAAATCAAAGTAAAAGTTTACATTGCTAAAGTAATTTAAACAATTACATAGAAATCATGACAATTGTTGCCTTGGTACACGCTTTCATTGTAATAGAAATCTTATTACCATAAGCATAGAGTTAAAATTACACAGCCCATTCTGTAACCCGGTTTCATTTGACATTTAGAAACTTTTTCGAACAAAGCATAATATGCAAAGTGAAAATATCTAAAGTTCAAAAGAATAACAAATAGATCGATGACACAGTTAAATGCTTCGTCTTTTATGACAGTGTAGATTTAACCTAGAATTTTTTTTATAAATTTAAGTTACTTAATATTAGATTTAAAAAAAGATGTCTTTAACTAAACAACTTTTCAATATACGCCGAATTTTCTAAACACAATTTATAAACAGTCGAATTTTATCACAGAAAGAAAGTCCATTGTTGAACTAAACTTTCTAAAAATCGACATAACTTGTAAGAAGCCGACTATAACTGAATGCACGCAATTTAAAAGTTTCCCTGAGTTCATCAGTTGCCGTCATTTTATCACTTGACTTCAAACATTGTTTGGGAACTCATTTATTCATGCTATTTTACAACAAGGTTGAGAAAAGACGATACTTGCCAGTATTTTATTAAAGAAGCTTTTAAGTTACATAATTAAGTTATTGCAGCAACAAAAAAGTGTAAATTTAAAAAAAAAACTCAAGTTAAATCATAAATTTTCAAAGAAATAATGATAACATCGTTTCAATGTAGAATCTCCGTTTTTATCAACATTTTATGTTGTTTTTTTGTGTCAAATTTGATAACAAAATATGTATATATCAATAATTCTGTCAAATATATAAAATGGGGATAAATAGAAGTAGAGTTATCGCATATATCATTCAAAATAACAAAGGTCTAAAAGCTTTTATAGAATAAATCGTCAAACAAACAATAGTTCAATCGATAAAGCTCGGACAAGCTTGTAAATTTTGTTTGACGGATAGTCACCCGGAATCCAGATGGAACTCGACATATCCGAATCAAGATAGGGATGTGATCGTGTAATAAGTCGAGAGCCGCATGCGAGGAAAGGACTGATTTGTCTATGACATAGACATCATCATTAACTCTATGGTATGCTTGATAATAGGCATAAATAAAATTTTTAAAATTAAATCTTTAAGCTTTAAGTTGCTAAGGTTATTTTTGCTGCCAGTGATGTGAAGATAAATTATAGGTTCAAGATGCAGGCGGGTTTGTGAAGAGGTCTCTAAACCTTCAAGGGTCAAGGGTCATCGTTCTGCTCGGTTGAAGTGACCCGGATTTTGCGGACAAGTTAAGAAACCTTATCCGGCCTTAGTGTAATCGCTTGTTATGTGTAGGGCGGGTCAGTTACAATCAGTGCCAAATTACAATAAATTTCAAAGATATTCTACACATTCAATTTATTTTATCAACCTAGAAGTACTCAACGTTGTTTCCAAAGACAAATTTTCACCGATAATATTTGCTACAAAACGCTACACTGTGTATTAGAAAAAATACATCCGATTACTTTATACCAACAATAAAAAGGCTAATAGGAGTTACAAACGTTTAATAATAAAATCAATTCAAGCCAATTCATAAGCAAAGGGATATCACAGGCATGTAGTGGAGGGCGTATGACAGGCGAGACGGCGCGCACTCTGTCGGGATATCGACAAAACATGTTTCGCTATGAGCCGGCAGCCGACAGCCGACAGCCGGCAGCCGGGCGGGCGGCGTGCCACCACTATCAACGCTGTTTATCACCGTTTACTCTGATCGCATATCAAAACGATGATATATCGCTTCTAGATGTGTCACATCTTTGAATTAACTTAAAAAGGATATTAAACTTCCGTAAGGTCCGTTAAGTTTTGATGTTCTATTCAGTTATAAGAATATTCTAGTATGACAAGAGTTGTGATATCTTATTACTTGTTTTGTTCATAAATCAGTTTTTAAGTAAAATATTTACTTGCGATCTAAACCAGTGTACATTAGATTTGGCGCTTTATTATTTGTACACATATCAAACATTTAAATTTCTAAAAAAGTATATTATAAAACTATTTATACTAAAAGTGCCATATCCATTCAGTATACATCGGAGGTCGTCTGGCGCGTGTCTGCGGCTCCCTGCGGCCGGATATGTTTCACCCGGCTTTGGCCCGGGCTGCGGCTTCTTTGAAAGCACGTGCGCTTCCGAAAGGGCAAGTTCACGCGTTTCTATTTCTTTATCCGTGTTTACCGTGTTACGGTTATGCTGGAGAACGAAAGTAGGTTGTTTATTTCGCATTTCATGAATAAGTGACATTCAATTTTTTTCAACAGAATAATCTTTTGGTTGGTGACCAACATTCTCTTAAAAGTCCTTAAGGCAATATAAGTAGATAATCTTCAAGATAATTAGCTTAAAGAGATAAAAATTCAGGATATCCTCCATGTTTAAAATATCGCACATAATTAACACCCGACAATACACTTTTACTTTGTCAGCTTTAAACGTCTTGACGTCTGTACTGTTGCTGAATTGTGACGTCAGAAAAAAATAAAGTGTCTAACCAATTGCGGTTGGCTTGAGTAAGGTCTGGTGACAAAGTGATCCCCTGTCGAGTGCGATTTGCCGCCGCAACGCCGAGCAAGCGGCCCGCTGCCGGCTATAGGGTGACAATGTTTATACGATTCCTAAAATAGATAAGTTTATTCCTAAACTGTTTTATAATTGGAACGTTTATGGATATTTGAGTTGAAGCTAGTGATAACGTGATTGAAATATTTCTTCTTAAAGGTATAATTTTGTATGATTACTAAAGAAAATAACTGTCTTATCTCATTACTTGATCTGATTTAGTTTTTTTTGCTCGGTAAACTCAGAAAGTAAATCTTACTCCTATTAAAACTATCCTTAAAACAAAACGTAGTCCTGCAAAATAATAGTAATATGGTTACCCTAGTGAGGCGGCCCAAGTTCAAGGCTAACTGGAGTGCGGAATCTTGCGCGCGGTCCCGGGGGCTCGGGAAATGTGAGCTGCCCATGAATAGGCTGCCACTTCGGTGTTCTGACTTGTTTGTAAACAAACTTTGGGTCAAGCGTTTGATTTGGAACAAGAGAGTTCATTGACATCTTGTTGAAACCTAGTTACAAAACTAACAATATTTTTGAGGCTCAATTTACAAATGCATCATCTACTTAAGTTTTCAGAGACCTTAGGTATTTTTATTCATAGCGACGAACCTTGTAATTGCAATTAAATATAATTCATCTTATTAAATTAATAACATAACGGCCCTAGAAAACCTGGGTGGTTAAATAGAAATATGATTTTGCAGTAGGGTATTTTGTTTTTCGACAAACAGCTTTTCTCATTTACAAGGCCGTCAGCTACCTTAGTACTTTTAGAACATTTTTTTACTTCCATAAATATATCCCTTTCGCGAGTAGTTGCAAAACAGGAGCAGGCAGAATGGTTAATTGCATTTGATATGACTCGTAAAGTCAATTACGGGCACCGTGAAAATGGACAGAATTAAAATTTACGCCGCGACGTAAAAGCTCCGCAGTCATAATGGCGGCGGCTGTTTTACGTCTGCATCGCATACCACTAAATATATCTTTTTTTTACTCATATGAAGTCATGTAATTTAAAAATATACAGATTTTGGAATACAAATTCTTTTTAATTGATTCAATATAGCTTAACTTTCGGTTACAGTGTGAAGAGCTTTTTTATGTCTACCTACCTAGTTAATGGAATGTAATGTCAAAAACGGTAATAAAATATTTATAATTAGTATTTTAGGCAGCTAAAGTAATGTAGTAGTAACCTCTATATGTTGTATTGAAATAAAATAATGATAAATTTATCACTTTTCATACTAAAATGGTTCAGAAGCATAAAAAGCACAAGGAAAAATTATTTATTAATACTTATTCAAGTTACAAAACGATTTATTCAAAATGAATAAAACACGCGCGGTATCCGGCTTTGTTATTTATTCCCCTATCAGTTTAATCAAATAGGTGAAAATGCAACACAGGTGGGTGTATAATTTCGTGGGTCCCGGCGTAACTTTCAATTGGCCGGTCGGCATACGTTCATTGATTTTCACTTTTTTCCGCTGCCGCCGGCCGTCGGCCGCCGGGATAGACGGGTGGCTTTCATTAACAGGTTTTGATTAAAAACGTCTCGATGCGAAATGTACACATTGAATACCTTTTCGCTATTGTTGTGTTTTAAATAGAAGGAAAGATAACATTTGCGTGCCGGAGGCCTAATTTAGTCCTCTTTCCCTTCCCATCCTTTTTCTAATAAGGAAAGGATGGGAAGTGGAAGTGGACTTTCCGGATGAGAGGATGCATGGGAAGGGAAAATATTTTCTTTCTGTGCATCCTCTCCTCCGTCGAGTAAAAGTAGGCAACGCATATACAATTGCGTATGTCTATGGGCAACGGTCACTTCGCTATTTCAGCGATTTCAGGTGGCCGCTCGCTCGTTTGCCACCTTATGATATAAAAAAAAAACATGATCTGACAACAATTTTGTAAATTAT